GGGGGGGGGCGCGGCAGGGTCGCAGGTCGGGCAGCAGCTCCTTTCCTCGAAACCCCAGCACCGGTCCCCCGACCGGAGTGCCCCACAGTCGGTGTCCGCACAGGACCCGCGGGGGCGCCCGGCAAGGCTGCCGCCTTAGGGGCCTTTTGCAGTTTCTTCGCCTTGTTTTCTTTTTTGCCTTGCCCTTTCGGGACTGGACTTCCGTCCAGTCACTCTCCGTGTCCACCGTCTCTGGACGGGGAACCATCCCCTGTCGAGTCACCGCGGAGGACGAGCGAACCGGCCCTACCGGCCGCAATATTTCCGCCCTCATGGCTTTTAGCTTTTCGTCCATGAGGCGAGCCATCCTATGCACTATTTCGTCTGGTGCACCTACCCGCGGGGCTGTAGCGGGAGAAGCAGCGGAACTCCCCACCCTAGCTTTTAGCACGTCAATCTCCTTTGAGAGTCGGCTGACGTCGCGCTCCAGTTCCCTGACTCGTGCCTTCAGTCGGAGGTTTTCCTCCCCGAGTCCCCTCCCTGCACCGGCCGCCGGTACCCTTTTGCCGAGTTCCAGTACGGCCGCTTCCACCACTCGCGAAGATTCCTTGAGAATACGCACAAACCCTCCTTTAAGATTTTTTTATGTCCGCGCGACCCTCTCAATCTCCCTGACCTTCTCCAACATTTGGGAGCTGAGGTCTACGGCCGGACACTCCCGCATCTCACCCCCGAGCTTTTCTAGGGATGGTATCCCCCTATCACCCGCTCTCTTAGGACATGGGGGCGCCTCCTCGCCCTCACTGTCTCCAGCCCCCACGAAGACTCTTTTGGGGGCCAAGGTGACGCCACTGCCAAAAGGTAGGGCCCGCTTCCTCCTTGGTTGGTCGTCCGACACCAGAGAGCTAAGGGAGAAGTCGGACTCCTCCCCAGCCTCCACCCCCGAGCCCAGCCCAGCCGTGGCTATAGAGAGGGACGACCCCGCAGTCGAACCCCCTCGCTGAACCCCCCTCCTGGTTCTTCCCCGCCGGCTCAGGCGAGGTCCTGTCCCCATGACTTCTTTTTCCAATTTCCGTGGAACACGACGGATCTGCCTGAGGTAGGTTCGACTGTATAAGTACTAATTCACTAAAATATATTTTAACCAAATTAAAAATTGCTACTTGTCATTTTTATAAATTAATCATCAATCACGCAGATTTAAATCTTTGGGACGTAAAATACAACATTATAAACAAATAAGGAAGATGACAATATGAATACGAATATATCAAGTATTATTATACCCAGTTGTCGGATCCAGTTCGTATGTGATTTCATTCTCAGACTTTTCCACCGTGTTCAATGTTGGGTTCGTTCTTCTTTGCAAATGTGAATATATTTCGAATAATATATATAATAATGTAGATTAATATAAATTATTAAAACTATAATACAAATAATACATACTAGGCTATCGGAATCGTGGGGATTTTCATCCTCCACAAAATTTTCCGAGCAAATTTCACTGATTGTGAAATCGAGCCCGGAAGGTTTTGGGAGTGCAGGACCTCCGCCTGTACCAGTCGCATGCTTGCAATAGCAAGAAATAGTCTTCTTTGCTGCGAGTTTCCACCGCTGATATGCACCTCTAATATCTTTCCAATCCCTCTTAATTCCAGTCGCTGCCATTTTCTCTGTTAGTTCCATCCATTTGTCTCTGCTACTCTTTTGCAATCTAGTATTATTTGCTTTATTCTCTAATACATCACGATTGTCGCTTACAAATTGTACGACAGTTATAAGCCACTTCTGGCCGTCACAACAAACCCCCACCA